AAAGAAAGAAAGAAAGAAAGAAAGAAAGAAAGAAAGAAAGAAAGAAAGAAAGAAAGAAAGAAAGAGAGAGAGAAAGAAAGAAAGAAGGAAAGTCAGGACTAGTCCAAAACCCAGCTGGGATGATGTTACAGCCTCTCTTGCCTCATGAACTGAGTGGAAATCATGCGGTCTATTGCAACTCAGTTTACTCATTGCCCATGAGTTAAACTCATGATCTTCCCTCAAAATACGTTATGCTTTAACAATGTTTAAACCACCCTCTCAAAGATATTGGGTATTTTAAGGACAACATATTATTTTCCCAAATAATCAGACAAGAAATATTCTTCTAGAGTTCTCAGAAATTCTCAGTAAGGCACAAACAAACAGAATAATGATTACTATACTTTGAAAAGCAACCGCACCTTGGATTTGCCCCAAAATCACAAATCCATTCTAAAACCACACATACTTCACATTATTTATTATATTATTATTAAATCTTTAGTACCTGAAAGGTATAAACATGGACCAAAAGGCAAGCAGTAACAACGGAACCCAAACTATGCCAGGTGCAAGTAAGAGAGACCTTTTCTTTTTCTGGTCTTCCATCTCCTTGAAGGGGCAGTGATCCTGATGGAGAATTTTGTGGGGAGTGCTTAACTATTATGGAAAATGAATTCTGAAGTAAAAGAAGCAGTTCTTGGAGTCTTCATGGGCACAAAGAAGTATATTTATAAGTCAACATTTCAGAAGGAGAGATCTCCCATTTGGAAAGCTAGTCCCCAGGAAAGCAGATTGGCTCTTACTGAGAGAGTAAAAAAATAAAAAATGGGAACAAATAGAATTAGCTGTATATTTAGCAACTGATTGGTAAATGTCTGCTAATTTCCTGGTTCCCTGATTGTTGGAGCGAACAACACCATTTCCCTTGAATTCCTCTACTTCAGGAAAGTTCTTACTTCTTTAAGCAAAAGGAAGACAAAACAACAAGGAAGTAATACTGGGTGCTGAGAAGAAAGAGGACTAAAAAATTATCTGTAAATCAAGAAGGTGGATGACAGCCCCATAGATTCCTGGAGAGAGTTAGTGATCCACGAAGAAGACTTATTCTGATGGGCTTATGTGTGCAAAAGCTCCAACTCCGAAAGGCTGGTGAGCCTGAGCAGGAGAAGACAAATTGCTTTTCCAGAATAGCTTCCATTTCCAGTGTCTTGTGCTGCATATTCCTCGCACTGGCCTCACGTGGCCTGACCGGTGAGCTGGAGTTGAGCAGAGGGTGTCCCCCCGAGGGGCTGGGGCGGCTACTGCAGCTTCTCGGGATCCACCCTTCCAGCCACCCTCTCACACGCACACCGCCTCAGCTCCCTGCAGTCTTTGGAGAAGGCCTTGCCATTGAGGATGGTCACACAGTCCCTGCTTCTCACGCTGCTGGCATCTATTATTATCTCGAACCTTAAAACAGGGGAAAACGTTAATTGATCATCTTTCAAAGGAAATATTAAGAGCCGTAAAGTACATAGAAGGCTTTCTGTGGTAGAATGAGTTTGCTGAAAAGACAGGTTCGCCTTACTCCTTGTTATCAACGCTTCCATTTTCATCTCTGTCTCAGAAGCCACAAATGACCCAAAACTATAAATAAAATGAGGACATTCCGGTACATGGTATGTGCCTGAAGTCCTAGCACACTGAGACATTTAGGTAGGGGGATCCCAAGTTTGAGACCAACCTGAGCAATTGAGTGACTTAGTGAGACCCTATCTCAAAATAAAAACTATAAGAGCCTGAACATCTGGCTTAGCACAAGGCTCTCAATCCCACCCCCAGTACTAAGGGGGGAAAAATACATGTTTTAACTCAAATGTGTCACACGATTTTACTGCTATTTTTAAAAGCACATATCTTTCCCGGGACTTGGTTTATGGCACTATAAAATACAAATGATTTCATGAATGTGCTCTGTCTTCCAGGAGAACAATTTTTTTTACTGTAAGGGAAAAAGGTATCTGTTCAAATATATGTTTAAATATAACATATTTTAGTACAAAGTTACATTTTCCTGTTTCAAAGAATTCCTTGTGGATTTATAGCTAATGCTCTCATCAGGAGTAAAAATAGTGTTTTATAGTCGTTTTTCAGTATTCTCAGCAAATCTATTCTGAGTGTGTGTGTGTGTGTGTGTGTGTGTGTGTGTGTGTGTGTTTTCAGGTAGCAAAATTTTGTATCTATTAAAGGTAAGAAAAGAAAGTGACTCTGCAGATGCTGTTATGTTGAGCTGTGGGGGACTCACGTCAATAATTTCTGACACTGCCAGTTAAACAGAAGACCCAATGCTATTATGGGCTACTGGACTCTTTTAGAATATTTTGCTGAGTTTACACACCTATAATATTCAATAACGGAACTTAGAAAAAATGGGGTATACCTATGAATGTCCATTTTGTATCTGTGTATTCAAAGTGGTTAGGATAGATATATAGTTGCATTCTCTTAATGAATAGAATGATCTGTTCTAATGGTGTTTGTAAATAGGATCACAAGTCCGCATCTTGTACAGCAATTAACCACTAAGAAGAATATATGCAGTGTGTTATTAGTTGAAACTGTACTTCTGATTTGATTTGAAACTGTCTCATTGCTATCTGTTTATCAATAAAATTTTGAAAAAAAAAAAACAAAAAAGAAAGAAAGTGACTCTGCAGAGTGGGCCAGGTAAAAGTAAGAAAAGAAGTGCATGCTGCAGAGGGGAGCACAGCGCAAAACCCAGGAGCTGCTCTCCATGAATATATTTTTAAAAGATGTGCTTCTTATTTCACTGCAGGAAAAGCCAGGTAGTCAGAAGCTTTAGCCTACCTCTGGCTCTGGGCATTGACAAATAGTTTGACCTCAGAATCACCGTTACAGCCAGGCTCCCAGACTTCAATCTACTCCACTCCGCCTCTCCTGCTTTACCTCCCTCCTCTCTGCCTCCCCATCTCTATCTGTATCTCATTCCTAGTGACTCCTAGGTACACACTGCTGGAAGCAAGCAGGGAAAGGGCCCTTGCCATTTACACATATATAGGTCTTCCTGGTCAATTTATAAGCCATTCAAGAGCAAGCATCGTCTCAAACATCGTAGGATGGCCTCCTGTGAACAACGTGTCATCCAGTACAAAGGAGATGTTTGATGAAAGCTTTTGACCAAGGTGTTGAACTCTAACACCCTCTCTGTTAAATGCCTTGCCCACAAAATGTTCAAAAGGCTTACAGTTCAAAGGAATAAGGTGCTCCATCAGTCCACAGCCAGGCCTTGCCACTGCCATTGCGGGAGAGCCCTGTCCAATAAGAGTAGAAAAACTCAGAGTAGCTCTGAAGCATGGAAAAGTCCTGTGAAAAGGCACACAAGAAAACCTTTAGCATTAGAGAATACTGAGGAGAAAATAATAGGGAATACACTTCCATTAAAAGGTGGGTAAAAGAGGAATTTGGAAGGATTATTTCTTACAGAAGTAAGAGAAATTTTTAAATTTGCATGTTGATGTGTGTGTTTGTGTAAATATTCGTAGTGAAATACATGACACTAATTTTCTAATATTCATATTGAAAAGTTTTTTTGGTGTTTTAGGGAAGGGTCTACAGGGTGTTCAGGGTCTCATTACTAGATCAGAATCAGTGATTCTCCTGTTTACAGCCTCCCAAGTGCTGGGATTACAGGCACACACCACCCTGCCCAGTCTTAATCACCATCTCAGCATGCTCCAGGGGTGGGGCTGTCATGGCTCCATATTGAAAATTTTAAATTATTTACTCCTTTTTATTTAGTCTTATTGTATACTCCTAATATCATTAACATAGAAATTCTCTAAATTGAGTATGTCTTTTCATTCCACCATACTGAGTTCTTTAGGACAAGTGCTTTGTGTCAGCAATTATTAAGTACTTGTATAATTGCGATACTGGTTGATTCAACAAAATTATTAGAACTCTAGGTGAGACTGTTGAAGGACAATCGAGTGGGCATGTGAAAAGAACTATACTGGAGGGCCAGGGAGATGGCTCAGTGGAATAAGCGCTTCCCTGGCAAGTGCAAGGGCCTGAGTTCAATCCCCGTTTCCGCCAAAAAAAAAAAAAAAAAAAAGAACTATACTGGAAAATATTGTCTCTAACTAAGGGAGAGACAATATTAAATTAAATGTCCTGCAAATTAAATGTCCTGAAAATAAATCACGTGAAAAAGATTTAAACATATGCAAATGTATAAAGTCCATGAGAGAAAATAACTATATATCTTTCACAAGAAAATCTTCTATGGACGTGGAGATAGCTCAGCCATCTAAGCACCTGCAGGACAAGCACAAGGACCCAGGTTTGATCCCTGGTACCAGTGTTGTGCAGGACCTGGAACCCCCAGGTACACAGATCTGGCCACTGAAAGTGGGTGTGGTGGTGCACACCTGTAATCCCAGCACTGGGGAGGCTGAGGTAGAGTATTACTATGAATCTGAACTGCATAGTGAGATCTTATACCAAATAAATAAATAAATAATTTTTTTAAAAAAGAAAAGAAAATCTACCATGGCATGAAATGTATGAATTATATACCTGGGTCATTAGTATGGGTTAGAAGTAGAGAAAACAAAGAGAATAGGAGAAAAATTAGGAGAATTTATGCCAGGACATGTTGTACTAGTGAGAAATAAAAAATGCCTCCCTTCATGAATAAGCTGAGCCTGAAAGAAAGGGAAAAAGTATTATGTTAGCAAATGATAGCTATTACAAAGGATCATGCATGAAGATTTTAAGAAATGGTCAGAATTAAGATGTAGCTAGAAGGACGTTAAGAGTTTGTATAGTGAAGTGTGGAATTAATTGACCATTTGCTGATTATCTTCTCTGAACCAAGAAGTTCTGCTAAATTATAGAGAAATAATAACGAGTGTGATTGCACTGAAGGAGGACTTCAATCCAAAAGCAAAGTAATATGAAAGAGGGGACAATAATACTATTGTAATACTGTACTTTAATTCTGTACACTTATTGATATGTCAATCTGTACATTTATTGTCCAATTTACCTTGTCCAATCATCTGGAAGGCACAGTATACTTTTGCAGATTATGCTAAATATTTAATTGAATATTTTTCAATGAACAGCTTTCTCCGTGTTATAATGCAACAGCCGGCATGTGTGATTCTCACTTTTTAATCATTTTATAATATTGTTCCCTCCTTACCCCCATGAAAAGAGGAAGGGAAGTGAAACATTCCCAGTTTTCCTGCTGAAGGAAGGGACAGTCTGAAGGGCAATACTACTCAGGTTCAGGCAGCATCTGTAGAGCTGGGGCTATCTACTTCAGTGAATCACCCAAAGCAACAGGAGTAAGACTTGAGCCTTCATTGGAGTAAGTGGGAAAGTCACAGGTCAGTCACTTTGACTCATCAAAATTTTCTTACCTACCCTTTTTTCTTGTCTTTTCTTTCTTTCTTTTTTCTTTTTTCTTTTTTTTTTTTTAATTTTAGGGAAGGGTCTACAGGGTATTCTGGGTCTCACTACTAGATCAGACTCATAGTAATCTGCCTGTTTACAGCCTCCCAAGAGCTGGGATTATAGATGCACCCTACCGTGCCCAGTCTCAATTGCCATCTCAGCATGTCCCGGAGGTGAGGCTGGCACAGCAGGCCCAAGGATTGAACCTCAGACCCCTGTGCCTTCTTGCAGGCTCTTTAATCCACTGAGCTGTTTGGCCAGCCCTTGTTTTTTCTTTTAGAACAGCACCTTACTTTGTAGTGTAGGCCAGTCTTAACCTCTGAATGTTCTTTTTGCTTCAGCTTCCCAAGTGCTGGGATTGCAAATGCATTTGTGACCATGCCCTGCTTTACCTATCCTTTTTACAAAAGACCTCTTTTAAAAGAATCATTCAGTAATGGTTCATCTTGATGGTCAACTTGATCAGCATGAGACAGGCCTAGAAGGTTAGTAAAGCACACTTCCAGGTGTGTTTGGATTGGGTGACTATGGGGACTACACCTGATCCTGAGCCCTTTCCTGCCTGACTTTTCCCAATCTCTCTACTTTCAGCTTCTACAAGGTAAACAGATTGCTTCTACCAAGACCTTTTGTCCCAGTGCTTGTGCCTTGGGATAGCCAACCAAGAAATGAGAGATCTATAAACCATAACCCAAAATAAACCTTTCCTCCTTTAAATTGTATGTGTCCAATGTTTTTTCTCAGAGATGGAAAGCTGACCAATATACTTTGAAACACTGAAAATACTCAGGACATTACCAGAACTTCTTGTGTGTCTATCTTCAGCATAGTAGAGTTCTCAGCATTGCAAAAATATTCACAGCCCTGCCAACTCTTACTAGCTTGGTAGAACTGGTAACATTTGTCCCCATGCCACTTCCATTTTCCTGGGCAAGGGCTGCACCTGGGTCCTTGGAGGTGGGGAAGACAGGGAAATGAAACTTCAGTTATTATTTTTTACCTGACATTCTTTTCATAAAATTCCCAAACATTTAATATCTCAATAATAAACTAATTGTTTGGTTCAGACATTTAATTCCTCCTGCAATAATAAATACAGATATTTACTGAATACCTAGAATATTCCAGAAAATATTCATTAGTAATAAGTGAAAATTGATGTAGACATTAACTTTTTATATGAGGTATGAGATCTAGTAATGAATGACTAGGATTTCCTTGACCCTTGCTCATGTAGTTCAGAAGTAAGAGAGAATAATCAGTTTCATAAAGCTATTCATGGTTGAGAAAGTCAAAATGCATGTGCTCAAGAAACAAAGACTCTATTTTTTTCTTCCAAATCTTACACATAATAGAAAATAGATTTTTGAGAGTATAATCTATACCAATATGAGGAGAGTCCCATTCTTACTTTAACCAAAAATACAATTTTAGGAAAAAAAATAGATAAAAATGAAGTTAGAATGATATACTTTTATGTGTCAGAAACTAAAGTGGACATCCAAGCCAGAATGGTCAAGTGTCCTATGGGCTATGTGGATGCAGTCAGAATGCAAATGATTTAGGCTTTGTGAGTCATGATTTAAATATTCATATGGGTACCTGGATTTTGAGAGTCAGTGACCTATAACTGAGTCCTCTGTGGATAAGTAATTAAATGAGAAACTTAATTATGTTCATAAAGGTTTTGTTGTTTTAAATGTAATTTCATATGTAGCACTTAACATGTTAAAATCTGGTGATCAGATGGAAAATTAGTGGGAATGCAATAATTCATCCATGAGCATGCAGCCAGCTGAATTTTCAGAAAGACTTCAAGGCTTCACACATTAGTAGAAAGCTGTGCAGAAGCAAGAAGGCAAATTTCTAATCCCTACTGCATTGGGATTAAACTCAAAATGCATGGAAAACTTAAATGTTAACACCAAAACTGTAAAAGTACTGGGAGAGAACATTGGAGAAATGCTATGCAAAAGTGTTTTGAATATGAGCCCAAAAGCATAAGTAATAAAAGTAAAAATATGGGGCCAGCAAGATAGGTCAACGGTATAAAGCTCCTGCTTAGGTAAGCTTAGGCAAGTGCAGGGACCGCGCACTTCAGTGTGGTTCAATTCCTGGCACCACATGAGACGCCAGCCCTGCTGAGTGAGCCACATAAAAAAAAGAATGGAAAAAAAAGTAAAAATAGACAAATGGACTTATATCAAACTAAGAAGCTTCTGTATGGAGAGAGAGAGAGAGAGAGAGAGAGAGAGAGAGAGAGAGAGATAGAGTGAGAGAGAGAGTAAAGAGCTATCAATAAAAATGGAAGAAAATTTTTGTAAACTACTCATTGGAAAAGTAATCAACATCAAAAATATATAAGGGATTTAAAATCATCAGTCAGTAATGGGCAAGTGATCTAAATAGGCACTCTAAAAGAAAACTAAGAAATGATCAACAAGTATGTTTAAAAAAGAAAAAGCTCATTATCACTAATAGCGAAGGAAATGGAAATAAAACCTCAATGAGGAACCACCTCACCCCAATTAAAATTTTCAACATCCAGAAGAAAATAAATAGCAAACAAATGGCAAAGATACATAGAAAGGGGAACTAAAAAGAGAGTTACTGTATCATCTAGTAGTCACTGTGTATGTATCTACAGGATACTGTGTATCTACGTACTACTGTGTATGTAGATATTTACATACTACTGTATATGTATCTACAGGACATGAAGGCATTATATCATTTGTACACCCATACTTATGGTGACATAATTCCCAATAATAGCCAAGATATGATTCAATCAAGTGGTCTAAGGACAAATGAATGGATACAAGAAATGTAATATATACACACAGAGGAATAGTGTTCAGTTATAAAAATGAGATTCTGTCATTTGGGTCAAAGTGGATAGAACTGGAAGACATCATGTTAAGTAAAATAAGTCAGAAACAGAAGGACAAATACATGTTTTCATTCATTTGCAGAAAGTAAAGACTGAGCTCATAGAAGAAAAGAGTAGAGTACTTGTCACTATAGACCGGCAAGGCAATGAGATGGGCAGGAGGATTAAAAGAAGCTATAGAAGAGGCACCCAAACACAGAGAAAAAAATACACATTGATGGTTTCATACTTGTATATAGTCAAAAACAATCTATGATGCATTTCAAAATAAATGGAAGGGCATGATGTTTCCCAACACATAGAAAAAAATTAATATTTGAAAATACTAATTACCCTTATTTAATCATTACACATTGTACACCTGTATCAATCAAATTATATTTTACCCTATAAACATGTAAAAATGACATTCATCAAAAAATCTGGTCAGGGTCAGGGAATTAGTTCATTGGCACAGGGTCTTCCTTATAAGTGTAAGGTCCTGAGTTCCATCCCCAATACCAAAAAATAAAAAATAAATAAATAATCTGGTTAATACCCAGGTGAATTCTATATTTTTAATAGTTCCTTATATTTGAAATATTTCACGGCAGCAGAGAAAATTTTGCATTAATAAATAATGTAGGAAGTTGTCCTTGTTATATCAGGACTACCAAGTCACTGTGCATCTCTGTAACTTTATTTTATTTATTTATTTATTTATTTATTTATTTATTTATTTATTTTCTTTTGGCAGACCTGGAGATTGAACTCAGGACTTTGCGCTTGCCAGGCATCTCTGTCAGTTTAACACCCTGCTTCCCTCAGCACTTCTGCTTGCCAGAATCCCATTGTAATGATAAGGACAAAGCTGGACAAACTTGCAAATGAAAAGGAGCTTCCAAATTCCCAAGACTTAGATCAAAAGGAGAAGTGGTGCATGTCTAAAAGGGTCGTGTCAAAGGACAAACAAAGAAAATACAAGTAGAACCATGAACAAGAACTTAACATACAACACCCTCAAAAATGGATGAAAAACATAACTTCAATGAATGTATAAAATGATGCAAGGGATCATTAGATTGAAAGGAAAGAGACAAGTCTGAGGCCTTATGTGAAATAGGTAGAGATGCCATGGAACTAAAGAAATTGAGGGACAGATGCTGCTTTACTTATACAACTTTATCTAATAGAATATTATGTAATCAACTAGAAATATGGAATAAAAGTCAGAAAAAGTTCATTTCCTCTGGACACACTTAAACACACATAGTATCACAAGGAAAACACACATAAAGACAAGGTATATTTAAGGAGAAAATGCACATTTCTTTGTCAGACAGATTAACTTATGTACTGAAAATAGGCTGCTTTTTTTGTGACATGTACAACTAGGAAAATTACAAACACAAGTGAATTTCTAAGCTGAATACCATGCTGTGAGCTCCTTTTACATGTAAATTATCTATCTGTTCACATGACATAATGTGATAAATGTTTAAAATTGTTCATGATTTATGAAGCAAGGCTATTCATATAGCTACAGCTGATATCCTCAGAAAAAGTATCTAGTTTTATAAATACATATAATGACATCATTTTTTGCTTTTATCTCTCATAGGCCTTTGGTTTCTGCTTCTCCCTTATTTTAACTTGGTTTTGAGCCCAAGGAATATTGAGTAGTTTGTATATGTAGTCCAAACCCATGCATTATTTCTTATATACTCTTATAAACCTAGTACTTAACTTTTATATGTCAATTTTATATTTAAGGTAAGTATGGCTTATTTGCCTAACTTTTTTATTTTCATATAGCTAGATGAAAATTCTGGGGACCACTGGTTTCATAGAAATATGCATTATCCTTTTGATGATTGGACACTTCAAAATAAAGTCCAGCTGGGCTGTCAGAAAAAGTAAGAAAATGAAACCTATTGTGGTCTGTGAGATTGTTAGTCATAAGACAAAGAATCACTTGGAGAAGCAGAAGTGGACCATTAGTTACTGGGTAATCAGACCATCTAAACTTCTACTGAGGAAGGAAAATGGTATGTGTGGAGAAGAAAAAGAGATCATTTTACTTTAGAGCCCCAAAATGATGAATAATGATGATTTGAAACTGTATGTTGCCTCTTATACTCTTGTAAGATGAGCAACTGACTTTAATGAAGCAAACCATTATGAAACCCAAGAAAGCCAAGAGAATAGTAAGACACCCACATACACACACCATGGGGTGGGGGCGTACACTGAAGTGGTAGTTCTCATCTTTGTCAGCGGGACCGTTTAAATCAGCATATAGCATTACCATTATCTAGAGTCTTCATGAAAATGCTTGCAGTTAATATCTAGCCAAGTAATACAGAATTAAAATAACTGACTTGAGAAGGCTATGTGCATTTTTTTATTTGATCCTTATATAATTCTTAAAATTCAAGAATGACTGCTCTAAGTTTATTGACTTTCTGACTGGGATGGATTTGCAAGCAGATGTGTTATGGCAAATTGAGACCACATCTTACGTTTGACTTTTTTGTAGCATTATATTGGGTATCCCAAGCTACTTGTTTGTGTGGCATCAAATGTTGCAGGTGAAGAATCCCTTCATGTGCTGTAACACAGACATGTGCGGACTGCAAGGTCCCAAAAGTACTCATTGTCTTGCAGTTCAGTTTACCAGAAAACTGATTAAACAACATAGTTCCCAGTTACTGCACTGGGAAATTCAGCTCTAAACTGGCAGATACTCTAGGGGCCCAGAGCTGAGGACACACTCACCCCCACTCTTATTATAGAGCTCACGACAGAGCTTTTCAGCCACACGTTGCAGAGTCTCTGCCAACTTCTTGTTCTTAACTTGAAGAGATTGCAGCTGCTGGGACAGATTCCCCAGTCTTTCTTCATTTTCAGAGATGATGGCTTGCTGAACACTGGACAGCTGGTAGAACTGAAAGACTAACCAAGGAGCCAAGTCAGACTGGGCAGCTATGTCTTAATATCTGTTTCTGTTTCTCACTTATGAAGAGAACAAAAAGTGTATCATTTATGACCTCAGACCCTGTATTCTTATACTGCTATATTCAAGTTCGGACTCTAGTACACACATAATAAATTATATCACTTTGGGCAAATTAATTTCTCTAAGTCTGCCTAAAAATATGGAATCATACTAGTAGTCTCTGTCTTCAGAGGTAAATTCCCAAACTATCTTACTTTCATGCACACTCAACCACCACTAACCTAAACCACAAATCTACTCTTTGGTAGCTCCAATATTGTCAATGTGTTAGGTACTGTTGCTCATTAAATTATTAAAACAAGAAATTTTATTTCCATTTCTTAAATATCAATTTACAAGCAGAATGCAGGAGAACAAGGAACTTCCTTAATGTCATTTAACCAAAAAATCTTAACATAGGCTTGGAACTCTTTTTTTCTAAACTTAAATACAGAAACGCCTTATGAATCCTAAGTTGCGTTGCATTCCTAAGAAGAATGGTGGTTGCAAAACAATAGTTGTATCAAAATGAAATAACAAGTTGAGAAAACAGAAAAAGTGAAATTTTGTGTTTAAAATTAAGATCCCATAAATAAAGGTTTAACGTTTCCTATAAAGCCCCAGTTTTTAGGCGAAAAGGAGGATTTGAGAGAGGGGCTGTTCCTGGTGTGCATATGCACAACAAACTAAAGAAAGCGTTAAAAGGTAAAGGGACAAGGATGCTCCAGCGTCTGTCTGAGATGCCACACAAACCTAATCTTGACATTTTAAAAAAAGAAAAATCTGCTTTTCGTTGTGAACATGCACAGCATGCTGTAGACACAGCGTCGTAGCCTTCAGCATAAACTCCTACAGTCCCTGCACGCTCTCACTTCCTGGGAACTTATCCCATTAGTTTCAAGTTTAAAGACTTCCAGAAGCATTTCTTCTTTATTTGCTTTTCAAAAGTTTCTGCTAAATGACTTTAATTTCACAGCCTTTTTTGAAAAATATCAGTGATGGAAGAACTCAGCTATTGTCCTTGTATTCAGGGTGTGGATATAAACAAAATCGCTTCTGTCTGCCAACTGAGCCTTGCAGAGCAAGGGCCGCCTCATTCTTGTGGGGTGGGAGTGGCGTGAGGCATGCATGAACTTCAACATTGACATGTAAATAGACAAAATCCTTCTCAGAATGTTGAATTCTAGTCGGAAAGTGATTGTTACATTTTGATACTTCTACTACCCATCATTTTAACTAGTTGTTGCTAGAAAAAAGGACATTTAGTTATTCCCAGGCTCCAGAATTGATGGGGGAAAAAGTCCATTGAAAGTGTTTCTTCTCCCAGACAAACCCTAGAACTGGGACGCCACCACAACCTGCAGAGTGCGGACTTACAGCCAAGGCCGAGGGCCGCTAGGCCAGCCAGCAACACCAGGCACAAGGTCAGCAGCGTCAGGGCCACCGGGCGCCAAGCAGAAAGAGCAGTCCTGGGCTCTGCGGGAAGCAAAACAGAAAACGAAATTTGATTCTTTTTCCTTCCTTCCTCTTGGGTCTAAGTCAGCAGCCAGGACGTGAGTGTAGTCAGTTCTGGAGAAGAAAAGCTGTGTGCCGGACAGCGTTAGAGAACTTACTCTGGTCCCTAGACGCGCGGTCTACAAGCTCAGCTGAGCCCCTTGGGTAACCGGACTGGCCATTACTCCACCCTTTTCTCCTTTCTCCTGCCCTCCCATTTTGCCCCAGTCACCCTCTGCATCACTGCCATCTCTGTACAGTTGCTTTTATAACCTGCGAGTCAAGGTTGTAATGATGGGAGACTCTTGTGAAAACTGCCTGAAGCAGACCCTGAGAATTTACCAAGAAAGCGCTTTTCACACCATTAGAGGAAATGAGCGTTTCTGTAGCACACTCTCCCCTCTGGATTCCATATGTGCTTCTTCTAAGAAGCAAATTATATAGCAGTAACCAGAAATTATCATTTTACTATTCCTTTCAGAATTTCTTTATTGATTATCTCTGCTGTAGGGTTGCTATTTATTCATTCATCTGATACATATCCCCCTATTAGATAAGATTATTGTCATCTATAAAAATAGATTATTGGGCCCGGGAGATGGCTCAGTGGAATAAACACTTCCCTGGCAAGCGCAAGGGTCTGAGTTCAATCCCCAGTTCCACAAAAAAAAAAAAAAAAAAAAAAAAGTGTTTAAAAATAGATAATTGTAAATTTCTTAAGCAGGGATAAAAGCCATCTCAAAGTTTACATCATTAAATAAACAAACAAAAACCATAGCTAATATCCTTTCCTTGCCTTTCATCCCATAAACTTGTCTTTTCTTTTCTTTTCTTTTCTTTTTTTTTATGTGTTTGCTATAGGGTCTTATTATGCAGCTCAGACTCATAGTGATCTTCCTGTTTTCAGTATCCCCATCACTGGGATTACAGGCGTGCACCACCACACCCACTCTCGGTGGGCAACTCAGCATGCTCAGGGGCAGGACCAGCGCAGCATGAGGTGCCAGGGATCAAACCCCAAAGTTGGCTTGTAATTACAGAGATCTCACAGCACTTCTGGAACAGGCCCATCACTTACATATCTGGCTCTAACTGACTGCATTTATCAGAGAGGGAAAACAGCCGCAGGATATGCAGGTAGTCTCTAGGAAGAGCATTGTGATTAAAATAAAACCGCTCCAGAGTGAAGCCTTCAGACTGTTCTGTTTGTGATGTAGGAGCTGTATTTCATTGAAAATTCAAGTCACATTCCAAAGCAGAAAGATTAAAGAAACAAAAATTCATTTTCTTTTCACCAGGTCCTGTACATAATGTATCTTAGGCAAAAGATTTTCACTAAATGCTATTTCTAAAGGAGAAAAGATATGTCGTAAAGATAGGATAAGAGTAGAAAATATGATTACATGCTTTAGAACATACAGTTTAGCAGGGAAAGTAAGGTAAAAAATAAGAATTAAAAATAAGAATCGTGCAGCCAGGGAGATGACTCAGTACAGTAATTGCTTCCCTGGCAAGCACAAGGGCCTGAGTTCAATCCCTGGTTCTGCAAAAAAAAAAAAAAAAGAAAAAGAAAAAAAAAAGAATCACAAAGTAGAAGTATTGATATGATTTAAAATATCCATATGTCTCAATAATCATCCTCATCTTCATTTATATTTAGAACTAAATGCAAATCTTTTATAAATTGCTATTTATTAATAATGGTAATTTTACCAATTGCATCACTTGGAAACTTCCAATACGTTTATTGCCCTTGAAACAAATTCTACAAAATTGTTCTCATACAGACCTTACCTAACCTCTTTTTATTTTTTAAACTCTTCTCCCCTTGCTTTAGTGTTCGGCTCACAGTAGCCTTGGCTTGTTCCTGTCTCAGTACCTCAGGTTGTGCCTGCCTACACCTCTGTACTTGCAGGTGTCTATGGGATTACCCACAAGCTACTTCTTGTTTCTCTTCTTTTAGTTTAAATGGCACAATCTAGGCAGAGGCTGGAAGAGGTTCTGAAGCCATCTCTAGCATGTGAGTGACTTCCCCTGTCAGGAGAATGTGTTTGATGATATTATTAGCTAATACTTCCTGACTGAAGTTTGCTGTCTGTTTCTTCTGCCCACAAATGGCACTCTGTTAAAACAGTGATCACATTTATCTTGCTCTCTAATACATTTCCTGTACTGAAAATAGAACCTGTAAACTTAATAAATATGTGAACATGGAGCCAGGGAGATGGCTCAGTGGAATAAGCACTTCCCTGGCAAGCACAAAGGCCTGAGTTCAATCCTTGGTTCCACCAAAAAAAAAAAAAAAAAGTGTTTCATCTCCTTTTGGGACAGGGGAGATGGCTCAATGGAATAAGCCTTCCCTGGCAAGCGTAACGGCCCGAGTTCAATTCCCATTTTTGAAAAAAAAAAAAAAAAAAAATGTGAACATGCAAATAAAGAAAAGAATACATTATGAAAAAAACTATTGTTATTTCAACTAGAAAGTTTACAAAAGCAGAGAATTATATAAAGTTAAAATTTATAAGTTAGGGCAGGGAGATAGCTCAGCTGTCTAAGCATCTGCCTGTCAAGCTCAAGGGCCTGCATTCGATCCCTGATCCCACATGCCTTGACAGCCCTGCCCCACGAGCCCTCTGAGCTGGCCACTGAAACTGGGCATGGTGGCACATTCCTGTAATCTCAGCACTGAGGAGGCTGAAAGAGGAGGATCACAAGGAGTCCAAGCCGTGTAGCGAGACCCTGTACCAAATACCTAAACTTTTTAAAATAAATAAATAAATAAATAAATAAATAAATAAATAAATTTTGCAGGTCAATTTTCAAAAATCAATTGACTTTTTAGCAGTAAGTCTGTAAGTAAACCACAAAAATGACTACATGCATCTCCTAACCCTTCTGGTTTCTGTACATTGTTTGTGTAAGATCTTGTATCATGAATAAATATGAAACATTTCCTGTGATGAGCTCACCTATGTAGTTTAGTTTAAATTTTCCTGAAAAAGAATCATTTTCTTATAACTTAGACTTTAATAGTATTTTAGATCAATAGAACATAAAAGAACATGCTCCAGGAGCCCGGGGATATGGCTCAATAGAATAAGCACTTCCCTTGCAAGTGCAAGGGTCTGAGTTCAATCCCCTGTTCTGCCAAAAAACAAAAAATAATAATAATAAAATTAAATTTAGGGCCAGGGAGATGGCTCAGTGGAATAAGCACTTCCCTGGCAAGCTCAAGGGCCTGAGTTCAATCCCTGGTTCCGCAAAAAAAAAAAAAAAAGATTTTTGGGGCCAGGGAGATGGCTCAGTGGAATAAGCACTTCCCTGGCAAGCTCAAGGGCCTGAGTTCAATCCCCGGTTCTGAAAAAAAAAAAAAAATTAAATTTAAAAAACACGCTCCAGTGAAGAATGCAGGGTATGTTACTCATTCTCTTCCAAACTCTTAAGAATTTTAAAGGTTGATATTGTCCAAGAGAATTAATCATTAACCTGTATGGTCTTGTGGTAGCCTCCAAAGGCATGACTGCATATGCAAATTTAACACCATGACGACTTTATTTTTTCATATTATTACCATTAAATATATTATAGTTCATGAGGAAGACTATAGCTCAGTAGATAGAGCACTAGTCTAGTGTAAGTGAGGTCCTGGGTACAATCTCAGCAAAATACACACACACACACACACACACACACACACACACACACACACATACAGACACACACACACACTGTTTTGGCTTGTTTCTTAGTCTACAGACTAAGCTTCTTTTTGGAAAAGTTACTATCTATGTAGCCATTTTGGAAGTCCACCAGCTAAAACATGAATTGAAATAGCTTAAGTAATGTTAGTTAGTTAGTTAGTTAGTTAGTTAGTTAGTTTTGGTACCTCGCTCCAAATTTAGGATCTTGTGCTTGCCTGGCAGGTGTTATGCCACTGATCTATCTCCCATGCCCTTGAAATTTCAGATCAACAGCTCATACTTTATATCTATTTACTTTGGAGGGAATGTTGCCAGGGATCAAACTCCAGACCTTGCACTTGCAGGACAGGCACTTACACTGCTGAGCTATCTCTCCGGCCCAAGTACTGTTGAATGTACAGATGAATTCTATTCTATAAAACACTTCTGTTATATGTTTGATTGCCCCTAAACCTAATTGTATGAACACATATCTTATGTGCATTAAAAAGAAAAACCCTCACTAAATGAGGAAAAAAGACAAAAGGACAAAATAAAACTGAAGGTAAAGAAAGTATTGTGTGTCTGCCCAAAGGATCAAAGAATGAGCTTAATTCTCACCTTATTGGGAAAAAAGAGCCTAGATTTTAGATGTTAGAACACAATTTTATAATTATTATATTCACAAAAACAAAGAATACATGCTCCTTCCTGAAAGTACCTCTAAGACAAGAAAATAAAACATAAGCTCTTTTCTGCTGAGAAGCAAAGTTTTAAAAATTTCCTTCTAGTGAACCTTCTTTCCCAAGTCAAATTTTCACATTTGGGAGTCTGCTTCCTCTCTCCCCTCAGCATTCACAGTTGCTCCTCACTTTACCTAAGGACCCTGAGCAATCCTACCATAAGGGAGTTTCTGTGATTGGCAGGGTCAGTCCCTCTGAAGCATGCTTTCTTGATAAAAAGAGCATGACTTGGAATGTTTCACTCTTGCTTTACGGCTCTTTCACCTCCTGGTGTTTCTTTTTTCTAGCTCTGACTCTAATGTGCCACAGTTCTATCCCATGTGTTCTTAATCATGCTGAAGTATCTCTCTAGAGACCATCCCAGACTTTAAAAAAAAAAAATTATTGTGGAAAATAAGCTGCCTGAAAAATGCATGCATTTGGCATGGTTTTACTGTGGTTTTATTTTTTGGAAACAAACAGCTATGCTGTCTCCTGAGGCATGTTTAGAAAGAGGTGTGGACAGGCCAAGGAATGATATAAACATCCCTAAGAATAATAAGATATATATAGAAAAAAA